ATTATATGATATTGTATTGATTCGCTGTATTGACTTGGAGTCTCTGAAGCGTAATCTCTGAAATATCTTTGAGTTATTTTTGTGTTTATTTTGTGTTTATCTCACGTGTTTATTATTGAGAATAATTCTTTGACGTTATTGTGAATCCTCATCCATGATTCCTTGAGTAATTGTCTTAATTTTATTTATTTTTTGAGATTTTATTTGAAGCTACAAAATCCAACGTAACAATGAGAATATTATTTACTAACATAGATATTCAACTAAGATCTTATCAGATAGGGAATCTCATTTTAATAATCAGTTAGTTACAGAATTGATGGAACAATTTCACATTTGTCATAATCTATCTACTCCTTATCATTCTATAACGAATGGATTAGTAGAAAGATTCAATAGAACTCTATGTGAATCTTTAGCAAAATTAGCTAAAAGATCTACTCAATGGGACCAATATATTTCTCTTGTTCTATTTGCTTATCGCACAAGCAAACAAAAAGTCACAAAAATTGAACCCTTTTATTTAGTTTATGGACTAAATGCAATATTACTTATTAACAATTCTGATGATCCTAATGACTTTTGTACCAACCAGAATTTTACTATTTAGGAAAGAATTGATCATTTGATCAATAAATTATTCCTAATGCGACTAGATGTAAAGGTACAAATATAACTTGCATAACAGTAACAAAAGAAGTACTATGATAAAAACACAAGGGTCTCTGTTTCACATGAAATTAGAGATAAGGTTTTATGCTTCAAAGCTGCATAAAATAAAACCCATTTTGGAAAATTGGATTAAAAATGGAAAGGCCCTATTATATTTATCAAATCTTACTAAATAGCTCTTATAAGATAAGAGAATTAGATAGTCGTATACTTCGTAGTCCAGTAAATGAAGATCTTTTAAAAATATATAAAGACCCTTCTTTTTAGATTTAGATTTTTTTTTATTTTTACTTTATTATTATTATTATTATTATTATTATGAAACAACTTTATATCGAAGACTTGAACGAAACTCTACTTGAAGAAGTAACTCCTGCTATTCCTTCATATTTAAATAGAATGGATTTACAAAAGAAATTCTAACTGATATATCGAATGTTATTAAGAGCTTCATGAATGAAAAACTGAACTCTTACCTTAGTAAATGCTTATTACTTGGAAAAACTTCTAGAAACGAAAACTTCTTTATTAGCTTAACAAAGTCAATTGAGAGGACTTGTCACTAAATATTATAGTTCTGTCTCAATACGTATTTATTACCTCTACGAAATGCTAAGTGTAGATCAAATTCAGCGAGCGAAACATATATTGTTGAAGAACCTTTATTAACTCCCAAGCTATGTATACTGATCTCTAGTAAACAAAGCTATGGATATTTGAACAGGAGTTCAAAATTTAGAAGGGAAGGATTGAAGCCGTGATTTGTGACTGTGCTAAAATAAAGTCATGTGATCTAAATGATCGACATAGTTGACGAAGCTGACGAAATTGATAGAGTTGCTAAAGTTATCAATGTTGATCAAGTGGACATATTAGATATATGGATTATATTTAATATATTTATTAATTATATCTTATTTATTATATATATTATATTTATCATAGTTATATTATTTGTTCTCTTTATTATATTTGTTATAGTTGATTTTATATTATTTTATTTTATATAAATATCTTGTATTTTCCCTTGAGTTGAAAAAGTAACTCAAGTTAAAGTTTTAAGATAAACCAAGAGTTTAATAAAGGAATCGTTAAATTCATTTACTATTGCCTTTTGTCATGTTTTAATATAGGCATGATTGTGATATTGTCTTGTATTTAATTCGACGAATTGAATTAAAAGTTTATCATTTAAGTTTACAGATACCAAGCTAATAAAGTGGTGATTCTTGCTAGGACTTCTAGCTTTTAGTGGATGAATTTTAATCTCTATCTCACATTACAACAAAATCATATTCAACAATACTCTAAGAATAGAAGTTACTTATCAATTGACTACACTTGTATAATTTGTTATCCATCTCTAGAAAAAGTATCTTTACTGTTCAAACATTTTTGGAATTGGATTAGCGCTAAATTTGGTGCTCTTATATACTAGCAAAACAGTAAATTTGTTTGATCAGTATCGATAACATTTTAGTGAATTACAGCTCATTAAAATTCTGAAAAGAGAAGCCAAATTATTGTTATATAGTTTAACCTTTGTTAACCCTTTTGATTTCAGATTTGATTTTGACTTCATTGCTATTCATAGATTAGAAGAATCTTATTATTCAGTCAACTTTAAATACCTTATAGCAACTAAATTACAACTTTAGTACCCCTCTCATTAGAACCTTCAAGAAGAAACATAATGGACGCAGACCAATTTAATGCCTTCATTACCCAGCTCACAACTTTTATCAATCAACTCACTCAGGAAGTTCAAAACAGACTTCCACATTAGCCACTAAAAAGAGAAACTAATTTAGTCCCAATAAAATGCTTCTCAGGAAAAAGTGAAGAGGATCTATCTAATTGGATTACCCATTTTTAGAAAGCTGCAAAAGCTAACAACTTGAATAATGAATTAATGGTTAAAATTGCTAGAGGATTCCTTGATCATGTAGCTACTGATTAGTATGAGGATACTACATTTATTTAAAGTTAAAGAGTTGCAGATGATGAAGATGGTGCTAAAACCTTTGTGTTTAAATTCGTAAACCATTTCTTTACGATTGAATAATAAAACAAATAGCATTAGAACTCAATGATATTCTTTAAGGAAGGGATGAAAAAGTAGAATCATACTCTAATAGATTTAAGAGATTAACGAAAAAGGTAGACTCTGATAGTAACCTACCAGAACCATATGTTATTACATTATTCCTAAAGAGATTAAAAAAGGATTTAGTGTGATATTTTGCTGCTAGTAAACTTGAGGATATTAATGAAGCAATTCAAGAGGTTATTGACTATGAAGCTAAAGTTTATTTTGAAAGACAAGCTGAAAGACAAGAATGTCAAGTGGATCGAAAGGCTAGAGCTTACACTGATAATGCTTTTGAAGCTTTAACTAAACAAATAGAAAAGTTAACTCTTAATTATGCTAATATAGTCTCAGCCTTAAATGTTTAAACCCAAACGAGATCTAAAGTCACAAGACAAAAACCAGATAAATCCCAAATCACTTATTTTAATTATCAAAAGAAAGGTCACTACTCTAGAGAATATAACTTGCCCCTAAAAAGAGAAAAAATACAAATATGGTTAAAGTTTATTTTGATCTTGATTCAGAAAATGAAGAAGAAAATTATGAAGAAGTTTATGCTACTCTAAGAGTAAGGGTCATTCTGTATACTACTAACAGAAAGGATGCCAAGGAGAAAAGTAAAAGGATGTCTGAATCTCAACAAAAAATGAGATTAAGAAGTAGAAATATAAGTAAACCAATTCTTCTTACTACTCTGATGAATATTGAAGAAGGAATTTTAACTCCAAAGGATAAGAAACCTTAAAAAAAATACCACACACCCCTTCTGCTATTGATTAATTAACTTTTTATAATATTGCTGAAGATATTTTTAACTTAAATTTGTCTACGAAACTTGGACAATGGTTAAAATATCCAGACCAAAGGAAAAACTTAGCTAATGCTTTAAAAAGAGCTATCATTAAAGAAACTAATAATGTTGACCTTGATGATGAATATATAAGTGACAATGATGATACTCCTATAATTGCGATCAGATATACTATTCAAATTCATTATAGCAATGTGCAAGCTATTCTTGACTCTGGTGCAGCTATCAGTATCATTACAAGTAGTTTAGTCAAATGACTTAAATTGAAGATTGATGAACTATTATAAATAATTATCAATACTGCCAATGGAAAAAGAGCTAGAGCTTTATGAAATATCAATACCATTAAAATAACCATTGGATCCATTCGTATGCTGATAACTCTACAAATCATTGAGTCTTCTGATTAAAACTTGCTATTAAGAACTGATTGGTTTAAGAGAACTAAAGCCATTCTTGATTTTGATGAAAGAAAAGTAAAGTTTAGATATCTTACGAAATCTGCCTCTATTATAATTACTTTTTATGACAGTTCTTCTGTTGAACTAGATGAAGAATCTGATATATCTATGGATGAACTAATTGATGTAATTAAAGATCTAATTTACAATGACCAATATGAAGATGAAGATCTTGACGAATGAGATATCTTTTATTTTAATAGTGAAGAAGACTTCTTTAACGAAGAAAATTTATTTAACTCTGATAAAAATGAGCTATTTGCTAACCCTTGGAATGATAATCTAGCGGTATTCTTAGCTCAAGCTGAACAGCCAAAGCCTTAAAATAATGAATGAAATATCCAAGAAGACTTACATGTTAGACCTTTGGATGCTAATCAATAAGATATTTTTGAGCAATTTGTTGAAGAGAATAAAGATATCTGTGCCTTTAGTCAAACAAAAATTGGTTATACAACTTTGTTTCAATATCAAATTCCTACAGGAGACCATGAACCAATTGCTGACCCTACATACCGTCTAAAGGATCCATCTAAATTAAAATTTCTACAAGAAGAAATTAAATGAATGGAAGAAAATGATATTATCCAAAAGTCAAAAAGCCCTTAGGCTTCTCCAGTCATTATTGTATCTAAGAAAACTGGAGATGCATACATTTGTATTGATTATAGGAAACTTAATGCTATAACTAAAGGAGATGCTTATCTCCTTCCACTTATTGATGACTTACTTGAGAAATTTAGAAATGCAAGTTGGTTTTCTACACTTGATCTTGCTAGTGGATATTGGCAAGTAGAAATATAAGAGAGTGATTGTGAGAAAACTGCTTTTATCTGTCTATATAGTCTGTATGAATTCAAAAGAATGCCTTTTGGATTAAAAAATGCTCTTGGAACTTTTCAACGTTTAATGAATTTTGTTTTACAAGAATACCTCTACAAGTTTGTAGTAGTATATTTAGATGATTTTATCATCTACTCAAAAATATATGAAGAACATCTACAACACTTGCATCTGGTATTCGATGCAATTAGAAAGGCAAATTTAATGATTAAATTAAAAAAATGCCAATTCTGTCTTCCAAATATTCTGTTCCTTAGACACATAGTCAGAAGAAGTGGTTTGCAACCAGATCCTGAAAAAATTCGAAAAATCAAAGAACTTCCAGCACCTAAAGGATTAACTGAATTAAGAGTAGCCCTTGGATTGTTCTCATATTATCAAATATTTGTAAAAGGATTCTCTCAAATTGCTAAACCAATGACAACCTTACTAAAGAAGGATGTTCCTTATGTTTGAACAAGTAACCAACAAAATTCTTTTGATAAATTAAAAGAGAAACTGATTACATTACCAATCCTTCAATACTCTGATTTTTCTAAGGAATTCATATTTTATACTGATGCCTTAGGAGTAGAACTTGGAGAGTATTATCTCAACTTGATGAAAATAAAAATGAACATGTTATTGCATATGCGAGCAAAAGCATGAACAAACCTGAGCAAAACTACCCAATTACAGATCAAAAATGTTTAGCAGTAGTTTGAACTATTAGAAATTTTTATTACTATCTTAGTTCTAAACCCTTTACCATCGTAACTGATCACTCTGCCCTCAAATGGTTGAGAACTTCAAAAATACCAAAAGGTTGACGTGTACAATGGATAATGGAATTATAATAATATGACTTTAATATTCATCATAGACCTGGGAAAAATAATGCTGACACTGATGCATTATCTCGATTAATTTCTGAAAAAGAACAAGATAATTTCTCAAAAGAAGTCTTTGTGCTTACAATAAATGAAAATGACAATGAAGAAATAGAATAGCATATTTCTTTTGCAAATAGTGAAACGTCATCAGAACGATCACAAGAAGAAATATATTTAAAGGAAGAATTGATGTCACAGTACTCATGTACCTTTAATCACTGTAGGATATCAATATCCTAAGAATGAACTGGAAGATATTTTTAAAGAAAATATCAAGATTAAGCAAGTTATAGCTAATCAACCAATAACTAAAAGAAGATCACAATGCAATTATAGTTGTAACATCAAAAACTATCATATCCATACATATTGCAAAGCCTGTAAGAGAAATTTGCCATATGGAACAATTGAACATCATTGTATCATTAGATTTAGTTCAGAACAAATTCAACCAGATATGAACCCTATCTATTTAACTAATGATCTTTAGTGGGATGAACCAATTTTAGTTCAACAAGAAAATCTCTATTCTCAACTCTATTATATGCTTGAAAACCCTCAACATCTTCTTGTTTCTCACATTTAAATATTTTGTTTCATACCCATATTTATTTTATTAGTAAAAAATTATTTAGAGTGAAATCAAAAGTATCTACATTGTGATAGGCAGTTCAGATATCATGGAACGCAATCAATATAATAATTTATTTGTTTATATAATCTTAAATCAATTACCTACATCTTTTAACACAAACAAAATTGCAAAATTAAAAAAACAATCGAAATTTTATACAATTCTACTCAATTTCTTATATAAGAAGCAAAGATAAAAAAATGCCCCTGAACAGTTTTTAAGGGTCATCAAAGAGACTGAATTAGATGCAATTATTTACATGATGCATAATAATCCAACAGCTAGACATTTTTCTACCGAAATTATGTTTAACAAAGTTCGTACTAGATATTATTAGCCTCAAATGTATGAAAGTATCAGAAAATATGTTCAATCATGTGATGCTTGCCAACGACGAGAAAGGCCTAAAACGAAAAATAAATTACATCCTATTCCAGTTGATTCACTATTTTATAGAATTGGAATAGATTTTGTTAGACCTTTACCACGAACTAGTAGAGGAAATAAATATATCATTATTGCCATGGACTATTTAATAAAATGGCCAGAAGCTAAAGCAGTTAGGGATAATACTGCTAAAAGTGTCATCAAATTCTTATATGAGAATATTATTTGCCGACATAGATGTTCAACTAAGATCTTATCAGATAGGGGATCTCATTTTAATAATCAATTAGTCACAGAATTAATGGAACAATTTCATATTCGTCATAATCTATCCACTTCTTATCACCCTAGAACAAATGGATTAGTAGAAAGATTCAATAGAACTCTACGTAAATCATTAGCAAAATTGGCTGAAATATCTACACAATGGGACCAATATATTTCTTCTGTCCTATTTGCTTATCGTACAAGTAAACAATCAGCCACAAAAATTGAACCTTTTTATTTAGTATATGGACGAAATGCAACGTTACCTACTGATAATCCTGATAATTCTAATGACCTTTGTACCAACCAGAATTTTACTATTCAGGAAAGAATTAATCATTTGATCAACAAACTACCCCTGGTACAACTAGATGTAAAAGTACAAATACAACTTGCACAACAGCAACAAAAGAAATACCATGATAAAAACACAAAGATCTCTGTTACACATGAAATTGGAGATAAGATTTTGTACTTCAAAGCTGCAAAAGATAAAACCCATTCTGAAAAATTGGATCAAAAATGGAAAGGCCCCTATTATATCTATCAAATCTTATTAAATGGCTCTTATAAGATAAGAGAATTAGATGGTCATGTACTTCGTAGTCCAATAAATAGAGATCTTTTAAAATTATATAAAGACCCTCCTTTTCAGATTTAGATTTTTCTTTTTTTTTTATCATTATTATTATAGAATAACTTTATATCGAAGATTTGAACAAAATTCTATCTGAAGAAATAACTTCTGCTATTCCTTCATATTTAAGTGGAATGGAACTACAAAAGAAATTTCAACTAACATATCGAATGTTATTAAGAACTTCACGAATGAAAGATCAAATTCTTTCCTTGATAAACGCTTATTACTTGGAAAACTTCTAGAAACAGAAACTTCTTTACCAGCATAACGAAGTCAATTGAGAGGACTTGTCACTAAATATTATAGTTCTATCTCAATACGTATTTACTACCTTTATGAAATGCTAGGTGTAGATCAAATTTAACGATAAAAACATATATCGTTAAAGAACCTTTATTAACTCCCAAGTCACGTTGTGACGGGTAAAATTTTAGATAGATTTAATTGGTAGAATAGAAAGTCAATTTTATTGCCATGTAGATCTT